GTTACCTGCAAACACAAGAACTATTATCCAGATAGAAGAAGTTAAAGAAAAAACTTAGCAAATTTCTGAAAGCCAACAACATACCTAAGGAATTGCTCGAATATGGAGGAACGGGACTAACAAAAAAGCTGACCCAGTTATTTTACAGAGTGCTGTTCCAGTCAGAAATAGACTACGCTTACGACATTGCAATAATCGTAAACTCAGAAGGTTACTTGCATAAGTTACACAAGTTCTGTCAAAAAGCTCGAGAAGTTAGGGCTGTCAAGAAGCCCTAAACATGACTGTTGCTTTTCTGAAAATTTTCTCAAAGCTGTCAACACAATGAGAATCAAATCATTGAATAACAGATTATTTATACAGCTTTATATTAAAAACGAAGAAGAATTTAATCGTTTGCTGCTGAATACAGAGCTTAGTTGGTTGTCAAAAGATGCCTGTTTAGATAGGTGCTGGAGTTCTTGAAAGATAAAAATGATGCTTTAGGATCCAATTTAATTCAATCCAAAAGTAACATCGGTTACTTGACCGACTTGTTTCAAAAATTTAATAATAATAATAGTACTAATGAAAGCAATCTTCAGATTCAAGGTGATGAACTGAATTTAATAAAAACAAAATCTGTTATTTCTGCATTTGTGACAAAACTTGTTCTGTACAACATTTTGGACGAGGGGAATTCAGCCACTTCCCAAATTTATGAGGAGCAGAAAAAAAGATGACATACTTTCTAATTGTGAGCACTTGGATGATCTCCATTCAGATTTTAATCAACAATTTGATGATATTTTGAAAATGAATACACCTGATTGGATTTTAGATCCTTTTTTAAGTGCAAACACAGAAGAATCTCCACAGTTACAAGAAGAACTGATGGAAGTAACTACAAATGATCAATTAAGATTTAAATTCAATAACAGCTACCAACAATTCTGGTTGCAAAAGGAGATATTCTGAAATATGGCCTGTAATTCAAAAGTTCTTAATTACATTTTCTTCATCATATTTAGTGGAACATGGATTCAGTCCGGTAACCAATTTATTAACAAAAAAAGAAACCGATTGCAAATAGTCAATTGCGGTAATTTAAGATTACTGCTAACGAGAATAGAGCTGGTTCATCCTTCTCATTAAGATGATTTCGAATGTTTTAATGGGTTTTTTTGTATTACCTTTCTATTTTGAGTTCAATAAATAGTTTCATAACTTCAATGTTTCTAATTTACACCTTTCTTTACTATATTTTACGAAGAAGGTAGAAACATTAATACACATATCTTTCTGTTTAATTGCTATTAAAATTTAAAAAAAAATTTATTTCCAGGGGGTGCTGAGTAATATTTTTTCTGGAAAGGGGGTGGTAGGCCAAATAAGTTTGGAAACCAGTGGTGTATATAAGCGTAGGAGGAAACCACTTTTAGTGAATATCCCATTTTGTTTTCAACAAAATCATTCGCTTCGTCAAAAGCAAAACGTCTTTCTGTACAAACTTTTTACATTGGAAAACTTGGCAAAGCAAAAGACTGCGTTTTGAAAATGTCGTTCTACAAACTTAACAGAATTATTTTTGATTTCGCTTGTTTCGACTTCGATTGGTCTCTTCAGTTAAGATTTTTCAGAAAAGGCAACAATGCCTCAATGTATAGACCTGCAATATTGATTTACACGAAATACGCGAATGCACTAACAAAACTAAGAGCATATTAAGAGTAGCAGAAATGAAGACATAAGAACAATTCCAAAAAGACCAAGTGGAACAGAATTAAAAATTACGACAGCAGAAGCGTGGTTCAGGACATTGTACCCAGAAGCATATCATCAAAGAGATGGAGTTACAGCTCTAAAGTAAACTTTTCAGAAGATATTTCAGAAATCCTTATCAAGAACAATATACCCAATGGTCTCGAAGGAGAGAAAGAAAAACGTGCTAATCTTGACAGTTTAGGTAAGAGGGTCAGTATATCATTTAAATTCAACATTTACATCAAATCGAAATAAAAGAAGATTTAGTAGACGCAGAAATATTATTTAAGGTGCTTCAAAGTTTCCAAGAAAATCCTACCTTTAAAAATGGATTCCCTGAATATAATATACGTATTTAAGTTAATCTTGAAAAACCATTATATCGACTTTCTGAACTATTTTGTGAACCACAGCTCAGTGTGGATTCAGAAAAGATAGAGCTACCACAACTGCCAATAGCATAGCTGTCACAATGTCACATACCTATATTATCCTTTTGACACAAAGGGTTGTGCGACATGAAAAGCTAGCATTAACTTCAGTGCCGATTCCATAGCTTTTATGGAGTCGTACCAAACACTTCTCAGTCAACGCTAGCTGACGATATCAATAAACAGCGTAATTTTTTTTGCGAATGTAACCACTGTAATTAGTACCAGTAAGTTTATCCATGATTCCAGATCATGAATACAAACAATAAATGGTTTTAGAACAATCAGTTGCAACTAAACGCATGATCTACTTCTTGAATTAGCTTCTGAAGTGTTAATCGAGCCCATTGAAATGTTGGATTGTACATTAACCCTGGATTAACAAGACAAAGACATAGGCATATTAACTCAAAAATTAATATTATTCCAGTTTGGTGACTCAGAGATATGTGAAGTTCTTGCGGACCTGTTTCATCGAAGCAAAACGTCTTTTTGTACAAACTCTTTACATTGGCAAATTTGGCAAAGCAAAAGACGCAGTCTCTTTGATAATGTCGTTCGACAAACTTAACAGAATTATTTTTTGTTTCACTTGTTTCGACTTCAATTGGTCTCTCAGTTAAGTAGATTTTTCAGAAAAGGCAACAATGCCTCTGACACCTTAGGACAAACGTGGTTTTTAAAAGATGAAAGATGACTGTTGCTACTTCAAAAACTAAATGCATGTTAAGTTTGGCATTCAACTACACCCCCATCGAACAAGTCATGAAATTTTTCTTCTTAGGTGTGGACAGCTTAAGCGTTCACGATCCCGTAAAGGGTCTAAGAAATCAGATTAACAAAGCGTCCGCATTTTCAGGTTGCCTACAGGACTAGTCGGTTAAACAAACTTATGCGTATGGACCTGCATATAGACCTACAATATTGATTTATACGAAATACGCGAATGCACTAACAAAACTAAGAGCATATTAAGAGTAGCAGAAATGAAGACATAAGGGCAATTCCAAAAAGACCAAGTGGAATAGAATTAAGAACTCCCATAGCAGAGGCTAATACGGGGTTCAGGATATTGTAGCCAACAGCATACCACCAAAGAAATAAAGAGACAGTTGGCAGTCAACTTTTCAGAAGATATTTCAGAGACAGACCTTATCTAGAACAACATATCCGGTTTAGAAGGAGAGAAAGAAAAAGAAGAATTACGTGCTATTCTTGATAATTTAGATAAGAGGGTCAGTAAATATCATTTAAATCCAACACTTACATCAAAACATCAAATCAAAATAAGAGAAGATTTAGTAAATGCAGAAATATTATTTAAGGTGCCTCAAAATTTCCAAAACTAAACGCTAACATGATCTACTTCCTGAATTAATCTCTTAGGGTTCTGGAGTGTTAATTACACCCCATTGAAATCTTGGTTTGTACATTAACCCTAGATTAACAAGACAAACACATAGGCATATTAACCCAAAAATTAAATTTCAATATATGGGTATACAACGAATCGTGATAACAATACTCGATAAGTGTACAAGTTCCTTAAATTCATAAGATAAAAAATATATATTATTCGATATAAGGATATTTTATATATTAGTACTACATCAATTATTAATATATATTTATATTAAGTTTTAAAGAATTTACGAAGACTGTTAATAAACATAACTTGTCACGTAACAGGATGAACTAAGGGTACGTAACGAGAAGCACATTGAACGAACACCGTAAATATATTTTCCCTCTTGTAACAAGATATATGCAGATGCCATATAATTTTTGCCCTCGCGTTCAGAAACGCATTTTTATCCGTCGCGTAGTTAGTTAACAGAACCACAAGGGAATTATTTATCGTTCACACTTTAGGCAGTACAACTTTATTCGAGACGGGTAGAAAGAAATTGATGGGAAAGACCCTCCCTTATTTATGTTCAGCGTATAATTGCCCGATAATCGTTGAGCAGGTGGATTGCGGTCCAATTGAAAATAATGATTCCAGCCGAACTTTAAGGTGTTTAATTTGGCTAAAACACCGTATTTTTAATTTTCAATTGGTCTCATTATCCTTGGTTTTTGTCTCATTATGATTAAGAGAGGGTTTACTGTTGAGTTGAAATTCGTGCCGAATACAATGGAAAACCGTTCGTTTGAAAAATCGACGCTCGTGCGACCACACACGGTCACATATGTTATTTTCTCCCGGTTTCACGTTTTGCAGACCACAATGGTTCGGCACGTCCCTGTAAACTAGGGTGCCTTTCACAGAGCTAATAATCCTAATAACCGCCCTTCGATGCGTATCTAACCGGAAAATAGAGGCGTTTAGAAAGCAAGCGATCCCAACCCGTCTACTTTTAGAATGATCAATTTACATGTGATTAGATTTTTTGATGTCTTGTTTTCTAAGTTTAAAATAGAATTTGGGGTAAAACATTTTCCACTAAAAAATTGTTCACACGATCTTTTCCCTAAAAGTCTTTTATAAAATACTTATACAGGTACTTTTTCTAAAAAGATTCTCCCTAAATGTCGATGTAGCATCATGTGTTCATAACAAAAGTACAATTGGATTTTACACTTGTCTTCGATAACCCACGTAAGAAAAGAAATAAGAAAAACCTTTCATGTAAACAATTTGATTTGTAAAAAGATCAATTTTGCACGCATTGGTAGGTGTAGGTAAACACGCGTGGTTACCAAGTTTCATGGGAAAATGTTTCTCTTGTGAGGCACCTAACCGTTTTAACAATAGCAATTGTTCACGCACAATTGGTTTAATCATAACCAAGTGAGTTCTATACATTGTCATATTGAGATGTTTGTGTTTAAAGTGTTATTACTAAAATGTTTCAACAATTTTCTTTAAACGGGTTAAATGCGAAAATTCATTTATTAATCGGGCTTAGTACAATAACTGTTCTAATACTAGTTTTTCAAATATTTAGCGTTAAAGATGAGCCAACATTACGTTTTGGTAGGTTTATAATAAATGTTTTTTTTTCATCAATTAACGTTTTAATTTAGGTTTTGTGAATCGCTGGCTTTATAATGTAAGTCGAAATACGACACAATACGTCCATCCCGATAAAAACACAACGATTTTGCTACCAAAAGATTTCTGTAAAACAAAATTGGATGTTTTAATAATAATTTTATCAGCACCTAAAAATTCAAAAATAAGAGGAGCTATCAGAGAAACATGGGGCTTAAATAAAAACGTTTTAAATTCTGCAGTTGGTATTTATTATTTATTAGGAACACCAACTAATAAAACGCTACAAGTACGTAAATACTCAATACTTTTAATTTTATATCACAATATTTTTTTTATTAGAAAAAAATCGAAATGGAATTCGATCTCTACCAAGATTTAATCCAAGAAGATTTTATAGATACCTATCACAATTTAACAATAAAATCAGTGATGTTATTAAAACTAGTAACAACTCATTGTTCCCATTTTGTTCATTACATAATGAAAAGTGATGATGATGTTTACATTTACATCCCAACATTAATTAGAACTTTAAAAAGCATTAAATTGAAAAGCAAACTTTTATTAGGTGACATCACAAAGAGACCAAGACCTTTTAGATCTTTAGAAAGTAAATGGTGAGTTCATTAAATTACTCTATTAAACATAAAAATTTATTTCATTAAAATAAATAGGTTCACTCCATATTATTTATACCAAAAGAAATTTTATCCAAATTTCTTAGCTGGCGCTAGTTACGTGATGAGTGTGGACGTTTTAATGAAATTGTACAAAACAGCTTTACAAACTCCAATTTATCACTTAGAAGATGTTTATATCACCGGTATTTTGGCAGAAAAATCGAAAATTATCCCTCGATATCATCCAGGATTCACGAGACTTAAACGAAAACTTGACCCTTGTTTATACAAATCGTTTATTAACAGTCATCGATGTAGCGCTATTGATTTACGAAAAATTCACGAATTAATTATGAGAACTGACTTTCAAAAATGTCCCGTCAATAAGAAAAATTAAGGTAATTATATTTGTTGATAAATAGATTAAAAATTAATTTTTGGTTTATAGATTTGAATAAGATTGAAAAGGAAATGCTAAAAGTGGATCTAAGATAAATGCAAGATTGAATTTAAAAAAAATACTTTAATGCATTGTTTGCAGTGATGTTTTGCCATCTTATGTATATAAGGTAAACTGAATATAGAATTGTTGAGCATATTTCCTGTTTATGTATTGATGCGCTATCTATGTTTAAGAAGTGAAACTTTCCATAAACCCAATTCATTTCGATCGAGTCGATGTCTGCAAAATGTAATGATATAGTTATATTTAGAAACTCATTTTAAATTGGTGATTACCAGACCTTCTAAACAATTTAATCTTATCCTTACACGACTAATAAAAGATCATCTATAATCAGTGGTGCTATATACAGGATAATTACCTTATTTACAAGCTAAATTCTGTAAAAACCTATTATATGGTTCAAAATATTACGGTTTAATAGAACATGGTAATTCTAAAATAATTGCTAAGTAAATAACAAAAATATATGATAACTACTACTTTCTGTGTAATATCCTTTAACCTTCAAAAGCACAAGCTGTTTATTATATACTTGACCATGCTACTTGTAAAAATCACTAAAAAATCATGTTATCATATTCATCTAAAGCAACTATTATTACAAACAAAACCGAAGTTAAAAGGTTGCACCATAAAAGCTTGTTAGAAATTCGATGAAAATTCTCAAGAGGATCCTTCTCTCAAGAAGGTTTCCTGTAAAGTCAGAACACAAGAAAATCTATTAAGAACCTTTGCAAGCCACAAAGATCTACGACAACAAGACAGGCTCTCAAGACTGCTTTTTAACATTGCCCTAGAAAACGTAGTACGAGATCACATTTGGAAAAATATTCACGAAGTCAACGCAGATCTTGGTATCAACAGGCGAAATAGATATTATAGGATGAACAGAAAACGAGGTCTTTACAAGGTTGAATAACGTGGCGGAGAAGATAAAATTAAAGATACATTTTACAAAGACCAAGTATATGGTGGCCAAGGCTGGCGGTGGAAACATACCAGAACGTTTGATATGTATCAAAGTGCAAATGTAAGATGAATTGGCCATGTAGCCAGAATGGACATAAAAAGTACCATAAAAATTACTTTGAAGCACTTTGATGGTTGTGGACCTGTCGGCAGATCGGTTGGGATGTCGAAAAGCCATTTCTGGACGATGTGGAAGACGACCTAAGAAGGCTGAAAGGATGAACAAAAAATTAAAATTAAAATCAACAACGGTTTTGTTTTGTTTTGCAAGTAGATCCATTTCGTTTAAAAAATAGTTTTTCTGCCTTAGTGTAATGATTAAACTAGCCTCTACAAAATTATCTTACATTTCTCCTTACTTCAATTTTGCAAATCCTTCACGTTTTGTAAATAAAATATCTACTGTAGTGAGATACTCGAGCAGGAAAACTTTGTATGTGCTCATCAACTTGCCTTATGATCATATTATAAAGCAAGTTAATAATTTATTTTGGCCAATTACAATGTCTTCCTCGATTAACCTTCAATACAAGCATTCCTTCTTATAGATATTCTGTATATACTTTAAAACTCTACGTTTTCTTATTCCATAAAGGCATAACAAGCTATGTTTGAATAGTTGATAAACTGATTTGACCTAACATGAATTCCCTTATTTAATATTGTATTAAAACTGCTGGGTATAGCAACTTTATTATTCTTATACACTCAGCATGACGAGAAATTGACGTCGATGTTGTATCACGTTGCATCTAACGTAGAAATATTTACAAATGTCAATCACCTCGAGAAAAAATTTTGAGTAAGGTTAGTTTTGTTTACAAGAGTAAATGATCTCCAGGTGGAAATGTTGTGTAAGGTTAGATTTGTTTAGAAATATCAATAACCCAGGGTCAATTAGTTGGTCAACTACAAATACAATTGTCTTATACTGGTAGTACCAGGTCGATACAGCAGGTAGACTATCGAATCTCTCTCTCAAGTCATAGAGAGACTACCTTAAATAAACACCAATGATGAAAACAGTATGAACAACGAATGGAAAAAATACATAGCAGCAATGGATGCATTTGCCAAAGAACTTAGGAACAACAGGAGAAATGTCTGGAATGACGAAAAATTTACCGGAGAACGAATCAAAGACACTCTACAAGATAAGTACAGAAAGAATAACAGAAGAAGAGTTAAATAGATAAGGGAGTGCACTGCACAGGAAAAAGAGGAATGAATTGAAAAAAAGTTAGAATAAAAGTCAAGAAATTTTTACAATCCATTGGTTTTCGTAGAAAAGCCTTAGAAATTTGAATGAGGAAAGCTGTGGTAAGTGGACGGCCAGTTTTATCCAGGATATTGCCAATGGTGGAAACAAAAATAAACCATTGAATCAACGTCTTCAATTGTAAACTTCCACTGATATAAAACTCTAAAAATACTGAATACAAGTTTCTGCAAAGTAATACACAGAAGGCTTATTCTGGACCTCAACATAAGGAACCGAAGTTAGGTGGTCTAAAATTGGATTTAAGGTTAATACCTCCAACAAGGCACTTCTTGATCTATACGATATAAGAGCCTAACCACAGCTTCTAATACCTTATATAAAAAAAACATGACGGATTTTGCTTTTCTATTATTTAAGACGTTGTGAAATGTGAACCCAAATAGTCGTCACAATATCGCCACATTTTTAGTGCAATTCTTTGCGCTCATTCTTCCTAGCAGCTTTGAATTTTTCTAATAGCACACCTTACAAAATCGTCTTACATTTTCCACACTTCCCGGTTTTTACGTAATTACATAACGAAATACAATCTTCATTATCAGAAATTTTTACTAAATCACCGCTGATTTCAGCCTTAAATTGGGAATTGAAATATTTTTTCTTGTTACTTGTTTGTATAACACCATTGAATTTACAACACAAGCATTTAGTAAAAGGTCTAATGCCAATTACTTGTACCACTTTATTGTTTTCCGCAGTAGTGAACTATAAGCAGTCATTTGACCAGACAAATTAACTGAAGATTTCTCTAAATTATAATCTACTACCATTTTTGGCTTTTCAAATGACCAACATCTTTTCTGCACAGTTGTCATTTTTACAGAATCTTTTGTAGATAGCATCATCACATCTCTTTTATGCTTCCATTTTAAAACTGTTACACTATTTCTATTTTCTCGAGCGATAACTTCACCACCTTTTTATTTTTGGAACACCACTTCTTTTGGATTGCCTCATCAATTTTTTTGCTGCGTGCCCACTATATGTATGTGCACCGGTATATTTAAGTTAATACCATGTCAATGCAAGACTGGTGTATAACAACGTAGCAACTTAGCCACAAGCAGCCTTGGTCGTAATTAATGTTTTCGTTAGGTCTACACTTGTGTAATAATTGTGTGTGCAGAAATATCTTCACAGAGAGACATTACAGTGTCAGAAGATTTGTTTCCAGATATTCGATTTGTATTTTCGTCCTTTGACTAAATTGGGCTACAGCGTCTCGGCAGTCACTGGAAAACTCATTTTATCTGCTATAAATAGAATTATAGATAATATGCATAGCGTAATAAAAGATTCATGTTGGCACCATGGGCAAAATATGTAAAATGCGTGCGGCAGTCAACGTGTTAATACTGGATACAGCTATTAGGGACGAGGTACAAAAAAACAGGCGAAAAGTAAATGTAAAAAATTGGATTTCGTCGATTCGGAACAAGATGAGCAATTTCCCAAAAAGTAAGAATTTTCTTGAAAACCGAGAGGATTTGAATACACGTTATATCTGTATTCCGAAAATGTACAAAATTCCTAAATGTAAAAAACATTTTTTCGGGTGTACTGTAAAAACAGCACCTTAATAAATGAATAGAAATAAGATTTTAGACTCGATTACAGAAAAAATGTATTTACTTTCGATACAGTGGAATCCCTAATGAAATTGTGTTGTAAATGAACATCGAAAATGACATTATAATTGAATTTCAGCCCAACATTGATCAATCCAGTTATTTTCAGGGTATAAAAGCTTGAAGGATTCAGATGAAAAATCAGAACGTGCTTCACCATCCAAGAGAAAACATCACCTAACACAAAAACAAAAAAATTATCGTAAGTAGTAATTCAAAAAAATAATTCGTCTTTGAACTAAAACCGACTTATATTTTTTTGTAACAGATCATGCAAGCCAACTTCGTAAAACTTTTCATGTTCGTTGTTGTCGTTGTCTTCGTAGTTGCTTTAATTGAAAATGTTGATGCTACATACAGAAAACCGCCCTTTAATGGATCGATTTTTGGAAAAAGAAGTTCCACCATCGGTGAGTACACCTAAAAGAAAAATAATATTTTTTTAATCAATAATTTTAGATTACGATAATGCTGGAAAAGCTTTATCCTCTATGTGTGAAATTGCAAGTGAGGCTTGCCAGGCATGGTTCCCAGCTCAAGATAAATAAATCTCCCAATAATTTATGAAGAACTAGAATGGATCCTGGAATAAAAACTTTTTGTAATTATAATTATTTACTGTAATCGCATAAATGGAAAATACGTAATAAATGCATAGCAAAATGAATTATTTTGTCTTAATTTATTGAAATTCAAATCACCTTAATTAAAATTTATAATTCAAATGACGTAAATTATTGTTTGTTGGTACCTATTAAAATGATGAGTTTTTAAACAATTCATTATACTTTGTAAAAACAAATCCAACGTAAATTTTTTGGTGTCATCATAACAGGAAATGTAAACATTTTTGACAGAATTCAAATTTTATTTTTAATTTTAAGTTTTTTTAAATAGTAATGCTTTAAGCTCTTAAATTGGAAATATAAAATAACCGTACGATATATCTAATTTAAAATGTATGTGTTTAGGTTAACTTTTTTAAAGCGAATCACAGTTTTGCTATTTTCTTCGAACACTTTCTATGCACCTAAATATTTCATTTATAACCTCATATTAAAGATTATCACAATGTGTGTGCATTAAATATAAATAAATCGGTTACAAAATGACATTAATTTTTTTAAACTCATTCATAAACTTTATAAATCAGTCAAAAAAACTTAAATTATTTTATTAAACGGTTCTTTTTCATCTATTTAAAGACTATCGATACGTTGTATTAAATGACTCCGTAAATTATTTATATATTCAAACATCATGTTCACAAAAGCTTTTTGTAAAACAATCGTTGGTATTTTTCCTTTCAGATCGGAATTCAAAATCCATTCTAATTTACATGATCCTGTTGTACAGCCAGTTATTATTTGACAACCAGCACCATTCCATCCTCTAAAATTAGCAAAAATGAAATCAAAAACTTTTTATATACAGTACGCTTTTTTAATTTGAAAACGTTTCGAGATATCATCATGAGCCGAAACACGTCAATTTTTATTTTTTAGTAACCTCAATAATTTAGCATTAAAAATTGTTTATCACGTTTAGTTTCGCTTGTTATTTACCTGGAGGTGCTACTTTCTTTGACACCATACATACTTTCTTTTGTCTTGCGTTGATATGGAATTAACGTAAACGTGTCGACCATGAATGCAAGATTGGTGTCTAACAACGTAGCACCTCAGTCGCAAGTGCCTTCGACTTAATAAACTGAAATATACGATGCAACTATATTAACACGTTGACTCCCATGAGAAGCGTAACTTGATGCACGGCAAAATTTCCACAACAGCCACGAGAGGCAAAAGTTGATTCTCATGCAGGTTTACTTTTAAAAGCCAAATGAATCAGCGGTTGCTTTTCAGATTGCTATAACGGTTATGGAATTCAAAATACATGCCTGTAAGAACTGAAAACTGTAATTGGCCTATGCCTATGTGAATCGAGTGCTCAAGGCCTGAAATATACATTCTTTGAAGTGTAGAAATAATTTTTTTATGAAAAAATACTTGACAGTATAGAAAAATGTTATTATTTTGTAATACAAAAAAGCAACTCAAACACTAGTTTTTAGAGCATTCTACACAACGATATCTTGACTGAGTGACCTTGGTTTGCGCATGTATGCTGTCATTTTTTGCAAGTCTCTCGTAACAAACAACACAACTACGACGATTCTTAGTACCCACATCTTCTAAAACATGCTCGGTGCGTGGTTGTAGTGTTGGGTTGTGAGAAACGTTCAATTTGGTTAGCTTCCAAATAAGATCTTCTTTAAATTTCGTTATTTACATTTTTTCATTTGCAACTTCTTGATGCAAAATATGCGCATTCACTAAACCAGCACCCAACATTACGTCAATGGCCAGTTTTCTATACCATTTTACCCCTCTACGTAAAGATTGCCTTTATTTGGTCAGATAAATCAATGTTCGTTTTATATTTATTATAATCAATAACAGTCGCTGGTTTTTGATTTTCTTTGCCGTAATTGAAGTGACTGTAAACATCACGTTTATCTTTCTATTCTTGAATGACTACACCTGTGTTGCTTTCTGCTGCAACAGTATCAAAGCTACAAAATGGAGATAATTTTGTAGCTTTTTGTCCAGAATGCGTTTTGGATTAAATTTTCTGATGTTAAAATTTCCCTTCTGAAATTGATGCGCTAATGAAATTCTAGTGTAATAATTATCCGTAAAGATTGTACGTCCTTTATCTAACCGGTTGTCAGCCAAAGTAAGAACAACTTTTTCTGAAGAAGGCTGGTTTGGTGTTTTGTCCTCCTATCCGCAATAAATGCAATAGACGGAAACTGTCAGAGATAACAATTACAATGAAACATTCAGTTTCCTCTTTATTTGTGTTATGCCATTCGTGAATCCTGGCTTTGGGTAATTTTTCAGCAGCTCTACACTGAGCTGCATATCTGTTTGTCTCTGTTACCATTAATTCTATGACCTCGGAGGTTAGCAATAATTTGAAAAACTCCTACGGACCTTTATCAAAATATTCACCATGTATTTCTTCCAATACGCCAACATTTGTTTCAGTAAAATGGAATGATTTTAGATTTATTCCAGTTAGATCGTCCTATAACAGCTGGTTACTATCAGCTGTTATATATTATCTATATTTATCATATCCATTTCGTGTTTTTTTTTCTAGCAGGTTTCTAGCAGGTTCTAGTAAATTTATCACCACAATCCTCAAATGGTTCATTATCATCTTCGTCTGAAAGATACTCCTGCCACAATTTTTATTGTTCTTCCTTACTCATTTTTACAGACACTTTTTATGCCAAAAACTAAACACTACCACCTGAATTCAACATATACCATCCACGAACTGTAAACGACTAAACATTTCATTCATATAGCACTGCATTTTTGCATGAACAGACTTGTTTTCTTATGAATCACGGTATGATTCACACAGGCAGTACGGCAATTTTCATCTGTGGGGCCGCGTGAATCATATGCTGCTTCTCGACAGAAAACAATAAAAAACATGAGTTTTTGATAAAAGAAATGATGATTTGTAATTTACTATCCTATTGCTAGCCTATTTCATTTTAAAATTGTTCCGGCCAGAATGGATAGACTTTTAGTGACTATTGTGGCAATCAACGTGTTAAGCCGATCAACGCAAGACTGGTGTCTAACAACGTAGCACCTCGGCTGCTAGTAGCTTCGGCTTAATACACTGAAATATACCATATCACTGTAATAAGCCGAGGTCACTTGAGGCCGAGGCGCTACTATAGTATTATATCAACACAAGACTAGTGTTAAACAACGTACTACTCGGCCGAAAGCGACCTCGGTTTAATACAATGAAATGTGGTTAGTACCATATCAATACAAGACAGATGTTAAACAAAATACCACCTCACCCGCAAGCGGCTTTGACTTAATACACTACAATATACGATGTCACTGTATTAAGCAGAGATTGCTTGCGGCCGTTAATAACAATAAATGTAAATTAAACAACGATTTGCTGAATAATTTTTTACCGTAATATTTTTCCAAATGAAATGACATTAACTTTTTATACTTGACCAGTCGATGATACAACACCTCGGCCGCAAGCGATCTCGGCTAAATAAAGTGAAATGCATAACAAAGACTGCATGGTGTTGATCGATTAAGGTACACAGTTAGTTAAGTCGCTTTCGGGAAATTATTTGGCAGGAAATTGTTTTTTAAGAAATAATAAATAATAAGAAAAATCAATTTTAAAAATTATGGTATTTTGCATCAACGAATTCGATGATGGTATTAACAATAATATTATCGTAAAAACACCATAATTATGGTACATTTGGCAACACTGCTGTAAAAGTAAAATATTATAAAGACTATGAGTATATAAATATCAATTTTAATTGATGAAACCTAGTTATGGTAAATGTTAGTCACTCCAAGATAAGTTTACTTTATAAGTAAATATACTAATATAAATATATCTGCAATAAAATCTCTAAAAACAGCTGATTGAGCGTGACACGTGGTATGACGAAGTGGTCAGCAACTGAAGTCATTGTTTGGATAACAGAAGAACAAAGGATTTGTCACTAATGAAAAATAAAAATCGACGTGTTTTGGTTAATGACGATATTTCGAGCTGTTTTCAAATTAGGCAAGGGGGTTTATTTCTGACTCGGACATACACAGGTATCCCACATAACCATAAGCAAAGTACATAAATGGTACTAAGGGACCGAGATACACAGTACTTCCATAGAGAAAAGTTATAGGAAATTTACTACACTATAAACGGAAAATATTTGTATACTCACAGGATGTTCCATAACGAAGTACTGACAAACACATGTTATTTTAAATTTATTTATTTGCGCTTTTAGTTTTTGAGTCATTTTAATTATATACTTTTTTTTAGTAATTAACACTATAGCCTTGAAATCTAAATTTCTTAGCGACTGATCGAACTAAAAGGTTAAAATTTGTTAGTTGCTGTATGAATATCCCTAAATAGAGCACCATTGGCTGCATTAGTCTATCTTATACAGAATGTCTCAGCGAGACTGTTCATTAGACGTTTCTGGCCAAAATAAAAATTTGAGAATTCAGATTTAAGTATTATCAATTGCGTTCCCTTCGACTAAAATATTTTCAGATTTCTAGCATTTCCGGTTATACCGGAAGTCCAAACCTACTTTATTTTTTTAAATTGAACACCTTATATATTCTTACATATTTGTCTGTTTTCAAAATTTATGAATAACTTTACTTTTTACAATTTGATTTGGCTGTTCTCCAGTTATTCGAATTTTTGTAGAAAAATCTGCTCCAGCACACATTTGTTCAAAAAATCAGGGAACACTCGATTTTTGGGATATTAATTAAGGATTCAGAATATGCTTAAGCAACATGATGGAGTATGTTTTGGTGCCAAGATCGGCTGTGTAGCTCGTTTGGTCCCTTTACTATGGCACGTTAACTTTTCGAAATTTGGAAATACCATAACTTAATTTTTTTAAATGGCACCCCCCTGTTTATTACTTAGTCGTCTACGGCGTTTCATTTTACACCTTTTATAGCCTACATGTCCTATACCTAACATTAATAATTTGGGAAATAATTAGGGTTTTTTGGAAAATGCTCACATATCAACCAAATTGTGGTATCTTACCCACAATATAATAAATAAAATGTTTTATAACAATTATATTTTAAGGAAAGAATGAACCATACATAACATACATAACAAATAGATGAATATATTCATCTACCTTGATCACTTGATAATGATAATAATAATTTTTATATAGCAACATGTTTACTTGTTTTTACATGTCGTGTGCACAGCATACTGCAATGTTCAAAAGGAAACTACTGTTGTATCATATTCAGTAGCNTTTTTGCATCAACGAATTCGATGATGGTATTAACAATAATATTATCGTAAAAACACCATAATTATGGTACATTTGGCAACACTGCTGTAAAAGTAAAATATTATATAAACTATGAGTATACAGGTGTCCCGTATCTTCCGCATCGGAGCATTATACGGTTGTAGGATACATTATTCTGAAGCGATTTTTCTAATAAATTTTTTTCGAAATGTTTATAATAACCGCACGGGAACTGTTTAACGACGTCCAATAACGGACGACTTTAATTCACAAAAAAAGTTTATTTCTCTTTCCGTGTCGAATCTATTGGTAAGTACACGTGGGAAACGAGTTATCATCGGCGTAGCGGACCGGCCGAGGGTGGCACCGATTACCTGAGTCTGATTTACGATCTGCTATTGGACGTTTCGAAAAAAAATGTATTAGAAAGATCGCTTCAGAATAATGTATCCTAAAACCGTATAATGCTCTGATGCAGAAGATACGGGACACTTGTATAAATATCAATTTTAATTGATGAAACCTAGTTGTGGTAAATGTTAAAGTCACTACAAGATAAATTTACTTTAGAAGTAAATATAATATGAACATATCTGCGATAAAATCTCTAAAAACAACAACAGCTGATTGAGCGTGACACGTGGTATGACGAAGTGGTCCGCAACTGGAGTCATTGTTTGGATAACAGAAGAACAAAGGATTTGTCAGTAATGAAAAACAAAAATCGACGTGTTTTGGTTAATGACGATATCTCGAGCCGTTTTCAAATTAGGCAAGAGGGTTTACTTCTCACTCGGACATACACAGGTGTCCCACGTAAGCAAAGTACATAAATGGCTCTAAGGGACTTAAGGGGGTTTTTATACTTACAGGTGTTCCATAACGAAGTACTGACAAACAACATATGTTATTTTAAATGGAATGATATAGTTTTTATTGCAAGTTTTGATTCTACACACAAAAATATGTTGACTTTAAGAAGACATGATGGTACTTGGCGCTTTTAGTTTTTGAGTTATTTTAGTTATATGCTTTCTTTTTAGCAATTAACACTATGACCTTGAAATCTAAATTTCTTCGACTGATCGAACTAAAAGGTTAAAATTTGTTACAGTTGCTGTATGAATATCCCTAAATAGAGCGCCATTGGCTACATTAGTCTATCTTATACAGAGTGTCTCAGCGAGACTGTTCATTAGACGTTTCTGGCCAAAATAAAAATTTGAGAGTTGATTTAAGTATTATCAATTGCGTTCCCTTCGACTAAAATATTTTCAGATTTCTAGCACTTTCGGTTATACCGGAAATTGGCACCTACTTTATTTTTTTTAATGGAACGGCCTATATATTCTTACATATTTGGACTTGTCTGTTTTCAAAGTTTATGAATATAACTTTTTACAATTTGATTTCGCTGTTCTCGAGTTATTCGAATTTTTCTAGAAAAATCTGCTCCAGCAGACATTTGTTCAAAAAATCAGGGAACACTCGATTTTGGAGATATTAATTTAGGATGTAAAAACGCTTAAGCAACATGATGGAGTATGTTTTGGTGCCAAGAACGGCTGTCTAGATCGTTTGCTCACTTTACTATGACACGTTAACTTTTCGAAATTTGGAAGTACCATAACTTAATTTTTTTAAATGGCACCCCCTATAGTTTATTACTTAGTCATCTTCGGCGTTTCATTTTACACCTTTTATAGCCTATATGTCCATATATTAATGTTAGGTATATGTCTATACCTAACATTAATAGTTTGGGAAATAATTAGGATTTTCTGAAAAATGCTCACATATCAACCAAATTATGGTATCTTATCCACAATATAATAAATAAAATGTTTTATAACAATTATATTTTAAGGAAAGAATGAACAATACATAATAAAGTTGATTGAATGATATAATGATCAAGGTAGATGAATATATTCATCTACCTTGATCACTTGATAATGATAATAATAATTTTTATATAGCAACATGTTTACTTGTTTTTACATGTCGTGTGCACAGCATACTGCAATGTTCAAAAGGAAACTACTGTTGTATCATATTCAGTAGCAAAAAAATCGAAAATTTTAAATGGAACACCCCATATTTGATTGGCACGCCATTCGTTGCATGGTTTTGATTCATTCCGCAATATCTCAGAAACTGCAACTGATAGGTGTAGGAACATGTACTGAAGATTTATAGAGAATTAAATTCTCTACCTGATAAGCTAATAAAATATGGAGTGTTCCATTTAAAATTTTCAACTTTTTTACAATTGAATATGGTAAAACAGTAGTTACATTTTTTAACATCCTGTATAAGATAGACCAATAAAACCAATAGACCAATAAAACCAATGAGGAAATCCAAGGCGAAACTATACCAATTTTTAACTTTCTAGTTCAACCGCTCGCTGAGCAATTCAGATTTAATTTTTTAATTCAGTGTTAATTGTTAAAAAAAGCTTCTAATTAAAATAACCCAAAAACCAAAAGCACTAGGGACCAACATATCTTATTAAAGTCAACATATTTTTGTGTGTAGAATCAGAATACGCAAGTAAAACTATATAATTCCATTAAAAACAACATATGTTTGTCAGTATTTCGTTATGGAACATCCTGTAAGTATAAAAATATTTTCTGTTTATAGTGTGGTAAATTTCCTACAACTTTTCTTTAAAGAACAACTGTGTATCTTGGCTCCTTAATGTTATTTATCTATTTTTCCGCTTACATGGGATTCCTGTACAGTGTGTTAATTAATTATCGTACCTGACGTCATCATTGCAAGTATGCAACCATTATCACAGTATTTTCGATGCGTATTACACTGTGATATTGGTTGCATACTTGTAACTGATACTATAATTAACTGACACACTGTATATGTATACACGAAATATTACCTTATATATTTGTCATTGGGAGGAATTATTGGAAGTTCAACCCCAACACTAGCAATAACATAACAATTACTTTGATGTTGCCACCTTCGAAGGGTAACAAAATCTCTACTTGAAATATAACCTGCAGCAGCGCTTTTTGAAATTTGATAGGTTATATCTGTATGTTGATCAATAATTTGAACTTTGTGTGATTCTAATAAAGTTGTATTCCATTCGGTCATTTTATCTACATTATGGTAGAGTTCTTCGAATAAAAAGCTAGCTGCTACATTTACCTTACACTAAAAAATTAATGAAAACTTAAGAATTGTATTAGAAATAAGACAGAAAATTTACAGCTAATTTATAAATTTTTCCAATTCCTTGAACATTTTGGACATAAACTACATCGTCGTCGCTTACTTTATATTTTTTCCAATTTTTTGAATTCAAAAATAAAGTGGAGTCTCGATAAGCTTTAATACCTAATTGTTTATATTTTTCAATCTAAAACATAAAAAAATTAACACTTTATAGCTTTTTTGGTTATAGTATTACTTGTTCATAAGATAATTGCATAGATGGAAATCTTTGTGGTGTTTCCCCAAACCGATTTAAAGACCCAGTTGGAGATCCTTGAACTGAATGAAAATTTCCAACACTTTCTGTGTACTCAGAAGGTTGCACCACATGTTGTCCTTGAATAAATCTTCTCAACAATGGTGTTCTTTCAGTATCAGGGCTTGCTAATTAAAAGGTTATAAAAAATCATTTAATTGTTTAAAAAAATCCTTACATATAATGATTTGTCTTGCTTGAGATTCTTGAGGAATGACTCGAGAATCAAGAAACCAAACTTCAACCCAAGAAAGTACAAAAGAAGTTAACACTAATAAAACTTGAAAAACGGGTTGAGATGAATCTTGGAACTGAAAATTCAAACTTTTTTATGAAATAACTTAAAATTTTCTACTTACATTGTACACAAAAACTTTTGATATTAAAAAAGCACATGTTCCTGCTGTTGACAAAGCTATAATAATCCAATGATTAATATGTAATAACCCATAAAATAAAAGTAGTACTGTAAAACGACACATTGCAGCTAACACAATGTCGAATAAAGAATTATGTATGTTATAATGATAAATTTCTTTATTAATTGCAACCCATATACTATCTCCATTAAGCTAAAAGTTACACATTTAATTTATATCAATTCTGTTACAAAATAACTTACCATAATGCATATCAACCACATTAAAGAGGTGAATAAAAGATCGAATGTAACAAATAAACAAAAAAACCTTCGAACACTAGACATTCTTCCATCGGAATGATGTTCACCTAAAATGCTCTCTGAGATCACATAATCTTGACACACAACTGACGAAGAATTGATACTATTCGCTATTGAAATAAAAAAAATAACGCAATTAATTTATTTTTATCAAACATAAATAAAGATATTTCAATAACTTACTAATATCTATGGAAGAAGGTGGAATAACCGCTGTGCTATAAGTACCAGAACCTTGGAGAGCACTGCTTAAAACCGTTCTAAGATCTTCGTTAGGGTGCATATTGTATTATTTATAAAAGTAATTAAAAAATACTGGAAGATCAGAAGACAATGCACAGTTAAAGTCCTTCATATACTTGTTTGTAAACAAAACTGGATTTGAGATAATAAAGTCCGTTGAATTGCGGTAAATTTAAAGATGGGTGCGACACTAAACTTATTAAGAATCATTACGAAAATTGATGATAGAATAAACAATAAATTCTTATCATTGTTCAAGATGTATGATTATTAAAACCGATTAACTTTACTATCAATAAATTTTCGATTGATTCATTCATCACATTAAAAATAATGTACCAAAATCAAGAAAGTTTATTATTATTAAGATTAATTACAGAATTGATTTTTTAAATGTAATAAATGAATTGAATTAATTAAATTCTAAAGATATCCAATGCAAAAAATAATTTTTTCAATCGAACATTTCTTATCTCCCGTCACTTTCATAAAACATAACCTCTTTACTTGTCATATTTGACGTTTAAACGTTCAAAATTTAAACACAATCTATAATATCGTTTCATCTTGAATAATTCGATAATAGATAGATTTTACAATTCAACTCATTTTAATAATTGTCAATTATATGCTGATGTAACATTAAAACAAAACGATATACAGATGAGAAGGAAATTATTGCTTTAAAAATGTATCGCAATCTAAACAGAGTTTACTACAGTTTTTAATAATATATTTTTAAAACGAAATGATGTTGAATATATTTGAGTAACATCTGAGTCACTTAGACAAAGGTATAGTGCTAATTTAAAAACAGCATATTACAAAAAAAAAAGCATTTTATAATCAATAAATTTTCTCCTGGATTGAGGAGAAGGATGAAGTGAGAGGGAGGTATCTACAAAAGAATACAAGAGATAAGTAGAAGGAATATAGCAGCAGAAGAAGGACACCAATAAAAAGGTGCAGAAAGGCAAAGAGAGAGGAAGTAAAGTAGTACAGGCCACATTAATCCATATGCAAGAATAAAGAAAGGAATCTACTATATGAAGAAGATGATATTCTTGGCAAATAGAGAATACTTTCAGGAATTGCTAAATCAGGAAAATAATACAGAGCCTCAAGAGTTTGATATGTGTCGAACCAGAGTTAAAACCTCCCACATTTGATGAAATTAGAGATACAATAAAATCATTAAAAAATTATTAGGTACTTGAACAAACTCTATGGAACTGTATATATGAGCTTATATGCTTAATATGGAACTCTGAAGAATGGAACCAGGGCCTTATACACCCTATCCATAAAAAGGGCCACAACCGTGATTACCACTGCTATTAATAAAATATTTTCATGCTTCATCTATAATAAAATGAGCGAGTATGCAGAGGAAATCTTTGGGGATTACCAATGTGGATTTCGACCCAACTGATTTAGAACAGACCATATACACACTTTGAGGCCTCCAGAGGTGAAATATCTTGATGTTATCTTGGACAAAGGACTGACTTGGAAATCACATCACACACTCATCGAATATCGAAAGGCAATTGGGACTACATGAGGATTAAATCTGAGCATTACAATGTGGATTTACAGTTCTGTGATAAAACCCAGCATGGTAGCTCACGGAGTCATAGTTTGATGCCCAGCGCTAAAACATACATATAAGGCTAGATTGCTGCACCAATTTCAACGACTGGCCTGCTTGTTAAGTATGTGCGCCATGAGGTCGACACCCACGATCGCGATAGAGACTGAGCTGAACCCCAGACTGACCCTAGATATTTCTATTAGGGAGGTTGGCGTGATGGCGTTGCTTCGATTGCGATTAGTTCATAATAAGCAAGTTGTAAAAATGGGAATAGTCCAGAACGAACCCTTGAGTGAGACTACATCACGCCTACTTTGGCATTGAAACAATATCCCGGAGCAACTTTAGCGCAGATAAAACGCTGACCATCCCACTGATGGATCAAAGAAAACTGGACCCGACTGCACCTTTCCATTTCGCTAGGGTCGTACTGCACGACTGCTCTGGCCAAAATAACTGCTATAAATATAGCAGCTAATGTCGACTCCAAAAAGGTTAACAGAAACGTTGTAATCTGCATTGATAGTAGACAGGCTATGCTAGCGCTTAGTAGGCATCGAACTAACATCACGATAAAGTGGCGGAAAGGACATACCGGATATACACTAACTTTTAATAAAGCATCAAATCTGATCAACTCCATCTTCCAACGAGCTTTTTGTGATAGATGGGATGAGACTGGAGTAAGTGTCTTTGCAAAAAAAACTCCGTTCTACCCTGACCGGAAGAGAAAAGCCCCTTTCCATTTCCTGAAAAAATCAAAAAGTGACTTGAGGCTCCTCGCCCACTTCCTGACCAGACACTACAGGTTACGTAAGTATATGTTCTATATGAAGCTGGCGAATACAGCCCTTTAGGTATAGGGTATGAAATGGAAGACGAGACGGTATGTCATATTGTTTGTGACTGTCCCAACCTCGCCTACTTAAGGGAATCAATTTTTGGCGTACCATGGCACCAATTTTCGGACATTGAAAACCCTTATCTTCTATATTAACGCTCTTTAAAACCATGGGCTAGTTTTCTGACCCCTGAATGAACTGTAAATTGTGGAGATGTACAAAGGACTCGTCTGGGGCCTAAGTGCAGTGAAGGAATTCACCCCCACATGGAACTACATACATACACACTTTGAGGCAGATTTTGGAGAAGGGTTACGAATATGACTTTGATGTAACATCGATTTCAAACAGATTTTCGACTGTGTCGACAGGACGAAGCTCTTTCAAAACCTGTTGCTGTTGGGTATCCCACAGAAATTGGTTAATCTTGTACAACTAGCATTGAAAGAAACAAAGGCCGCGGTGGTGTTAGACAGGGAGATGTTCTCTCAGCCCTGCTTTTTAACCTGATATTGCACGCGGCTATCTCCGAAATGATCCCAAAAGGCAACTTAACAACTAATAGCAGACAAATTGTCGCATACGCGGATGACATGGTCATAATTGGGCGAAATGATGTAGCAATAAGAGAGAACTCGCGATTCCTTGATAAAGTCGAATTTAAATAAAACCGAATATATGAAGATGTCAAGAAAGGGAACGCAAGGTCTGTAAAGTACATTGTACTTGAAAGAAGGGGGTGACGACACGAGTTACGAATCAGTGTGAGCTAGAGACTGAAACGAAGTAGTTTATCTCAAATATACTGCTTTTCCTAATTGAACACTCTGATTATGAAAATTATGTCGTTCATACGTTGAAATCCTTCGTCTGACTAACCTTGTACAATACGTTTTACAGACCTTGGGGGAACAGATATCGGGGAGGAACTTGGAGTCGGGGAAAGTAGATTTAAGACGACGGATGAGTGTACATACTTGGGATCGCTAGTTAACGAGAATAAATCTGTAAGTAATGAAATAAAGACAAGAATAGGAAAGAGCAATAAAGCTTATTTCGCAAACAAGAAACTGATGTGGTGAATATACTAAGTCACAGCTCTAAAATGAGAAAATATAAGAGTTTAATAAGACCAGTGGTAAGGTGCGGATGTGAAACATGGATGTTTCTAAAAGAAGACGAAGAAGATCTAAAAAGTTAGAAAGAAGAATACTAAGAAGGATATTTGATCCAGTAAAAGATGGAACATGGAGAATTCAAATGAATTTTGAACTCAATGCCCTGGTTGGTGATGAGGAGATAAGCAGATTTGTTATAAATGTCAGCGAATTAGATGACACGTAAGAAGAAAGGAAGATGATAGCAGTGCAAAAATCCTTACAGAATGGAAACCTACAGAGAAAAGACTTAGAGGAAGACCTCGTAAAAGATGGTTGGACGACGTGAAGGATGACTTGAGGGGATGAGAAGAGTAACTGGTGCAGAACTCTGGAGACCAAAACCCACCAAGGGTTGTAAATATCAATCAGTTTTCATTTCATTTTTAGAACGTAACAATTAAATAAAAGAAGAAATTCATTACATGCAAAGATATCTTATTTTTAGTATGCTTTGAATGAACACCAGACAAAAATCTCTAGCCAGAGTTTCCTAGAATGTGATGGTAAGATTCTTGTCACACGAAATTCTATAACCATCAATTTAGGGATGATTCGAATCCTTTCAATATTTAGGAGAGTGTAATCGATATCAATCCATATGATATTAAACAATTGTGTGCAGTAGATTGTTTTGACCATTTTGAGTCTAAATGCACCTCCATAAAGCTTGTGGGTCATGCAGATCCACACCCTTTTTTATTAATATAAAAATGAAATTATGGATTTTAGAGGAAAGTCCTCGATCTGTTATA